CGTGTTAGATTGGTTTCTGGAGACCGTGTTTTTGATAAGACGGATCGGACTTCAATGAGAGATTTGAATATCAAATATCATATAAATAGGGGATATTGTGCTCACTAGTTGTCAAAAAGTCAATATATACCATTTGGCGGGAGAGTTGGCTTACTTCACCGTTTACAGAGACTTAGGGCTGAATTCAGCACCATTGGGAGAGGTCACAAAAACCATACGAGCACCAATCCTTTGAATAGTACTGAATTTACGCGTACCAGTTCCTCTACTCTTCAACCTTTGAACTTCTACGCCATCCTCGAGAACTTCGTACTTTGAGAATCCTGCATTTGCACAAACTTCCACACTGCATATGCATCCAGCACTGCGATCCTCATTCGATCATGCTGCACCTCTCCTAATATTCTCTCCTTGTCACGAGCAGTGATATATCTTCTGGAAGATATACTTCCACCCATGTGGCCGCATCGGAATATCTCACTACGTAGTAGCGCCCATTTGTGATAATGATATCCATCCACTTCTTGTCCAACAACATGCTTTTTTTTTCTACGCTGAACTTTTTCAATTTTGCTGTCAACTACATCTTCAACTATTCACATTTCACTCACTTATCAGTATTTGAACAGCATAGTGAGCTTCGAGCTTTCGCACTTAGGCGAGATGTGATTTTACCAGGCAAACATTCGCACACCCCTTTTTAAAGCAGGGTTCGTTTAAAAATGTAGAACAAAACAGTAGAAGGTGAACGATTATAGCTGTAATACTTGACACTCAATTGAGTATCAAAATCGTTAGCAAAAAGAAAACTGCAAAATATATTAAATCAAGATTACAGCATAGCAAAACTTCATTTCGCCACCATCCCGCCACGCTGCCACGTCAGAGAGAGCCAGATGTACAAAGAGCATAATAGGATATGAAATAATGTATAAATCAGTCGAAAGAACTACTTAATATTGCTGACAAAAATAATTCTGTTTCCTTCTTAATTCACACCAGGGTCATGATGCAAAAGATGATGATGTAACTGGTGCAACTCTAAAAAGGAAAACCTGCTCATTCTGAATCTCAAATGCCCAACAGCAACGACTGCAGCAACATAAATAAACTGGTAGCTCTTTGCAGCAGTAGAAAAAAACAGAGCAGTACGAGAGGAATTCGGCAGCAGAGATCATGGGAATACGCGCTCAGGCAAAAATGCCGTGAACAGGTAAGCGGGTAACGGTTTACATGACCATCGATGCCCCAGCTCAATTCTTGGGGTAGATTCATATCCCACCCTGGGTAGAGAGGCCTTCTCTGTCAGGGTGGGGGATGAAAGGGACCGCGCTTTTCTGAGCTTTCGCTAAGTTGAAGTCGCAGAGGCCAACGTAATATGATTGTCAAAGGCTGCCGATCCCTTACCTGTTCAAAGAAAAAACAGCCCCATCGTCACCACCCTGATACAGAGAAACGACGAAAAAGCTATTTGAACGTTCGCGCTTTTCGCGATAATTTCCCCGTGGTGATTTTACCCTTCCCCACCCAAGATGTTATGCATACGGCCCATAAGGTATGAGGGTATGATATGACAATTGATAACTAATAGTAATCATATTTCAGCCTTCAATTTTTATAGGCCTTCGTAGAGATTTTTTCAGTGCATTTGGTCACTCAGATAATTACGCTGAGCTGAAATTTTTGTTGATCGCACATGAATGGAACCATCCGCGCAAAGTTGAGAAGACGTATTTCCCCACATGAAATCACTGTGTTTGAAGTACACCGTATTTAAGAAACATGGTCAAAATTTTTCATTTGAATATAAGGTACGCAAGGCATTGTCATGAGCGCTTGAAGGGGCAAAGGCTAGTGTCCTGTAGACTACCAGGTAATCGCCATCTCCATCCAAATCAAGCTGACAGATCGCCCTGTTCATCAATGCAGTCCATCTTAGCCGAAACCAGCAAAAATTTCTCCACTTTTGCCAACGACGCAATTTCGCTTTCAATGGTATGTGTATAAAATGTATTCTAAGCGCATCGAGGGATAGATCGAGGAACATATTCTCGTCGCTGCTGATGCTAACAAGGGAAGGATACAAGGTAGCAAGGGTCCTTCAAGACGAAAAGTATAGGACCGTGAGTATTTCTTATATAAAATCTGCGCTTCAAATTGAAATGATTCAAAAAATCAAGACTTGGAATCTTTTATTCTGTGCTATATCACTCTGTCACACGGATAACCCGAAAGAACCTAGTGCGCTGTGCAACGATGGTGCACATGAGAGTATGGCGGACTCGTTCACATGACATGGAGGTTCGACATCTGATGCATCCATTTTGCTATTTCATAAATGTGGCCTGAAAGCTTGCAGAACGGTTTTATTGTGGCTATCTGGGAAACCCCATACGTCCAAGAGGCACTGGTAATTACTTTCGAGAATGATCTTTCTTGCTCTCTTTTGACCAAATGAGAGTGCAGTACAGTTGCAGCTAACCAGGGAAGGGTTCCACCTTTCTATGAGATTTCGAATAGAGGCCTAGGTGTGTCGACACGAGTGTGGAATGCTATTTGCAAATATATTATAGAAATTGAAACTGCTGAGTACCGAAAGAGTTGTTAGCGCTCAAAGTTCGCTCGCTAAAGGCTTGGAGAGATAAAGCTACGTGAAGTTCGTGTGTGTGTGAAGACGGAGACGAGGGGGAGAATGATTTATTGCTCACTACCATCCCTTTTATACACTCTCTCTAATAATCAGTCTACTATTTCCCTCACTTCTTCATTCTTCATTTTCTCACGTTATCACACCCCTCTACACCTCCCCCTAGTGGCCCCTACGGTCGCTACATGTACCAGAAGCGTACCTTACGGTGTGAGGAGGTTCAACCTTCTGTAACCTCCTCCTCACCCACTGTTCTTCTTACACCAACAGCATTTCAACATGTTTATTATTTATCTCAAACAACATCACCCCTCACTGAGGGTCATCTCTCATGGCCTCACGGCCTGGATCCGCGCTTCGCGATCGTCGCCGCACCGACCGTCTGCGGCTTCTTGCTTGTCTTCTTGGTGAGCGACTGTAGCTCCTCGAACGTCTTCTTGCCGGGCGGCTGCGGCTTCTTCCCTCTCTCCTTGAAGATCGGCTGTAGCTTCTTCTGCGGAGGTCCCGCTGTATGCCCTTCAGCGCCGCCCTCAGCGCCCTGCCACGGCGCTGCGGACGACGCCTCGGCCTCTTCGCTGCAGCCACTTGTGGTCCCGACGGGGCCCACACCATCGGCATCACCGCGGGTGCAGAGGGTGACCCCGTCGCNACGGTTAGGTCGTCGCAACCCCTGCTCTTCGGTACGTTCCTCCTTCCTCTTAGGGACCCTACTCTCCATCCTTCTTAGCAAATCCTCGTCTGCCATCTCCCACGGAATCACCCTTTCCTTCATTTGGTCAGCATGGATTTTCTTCACTCCCATGCCGTAATGGACTTCGTACACACTTGACCCTAGGACTCTAACCACAATTCCGGGTATCCATCGGTCTCCGGACCCGGTATAATTCCTTATGAATACCTCCTGTCCTACTACAAAAGTTCGCTCTTTTTTCCCTTGATCATAAGTTCTTTTCATTCGCTCTTAATACCTGTTGGCGGGCAATTTCCTTGTTTCCGTTCTAACTATATCCAGGGTGGTTCGCAATGGTCGCCCCATAAACATTTCTGCGGGTGCTTTCGCCGTCGCCACATGGGGTGTTACCCTGTACTCAAAGAGCAAGTTCAATACTGCATTTTCTAGCGTTTTATTGGAACGCAACCCCTTATACAAGATATTTTTAAACGTCTGGACAAAACGCTCTGCTTCCCCATTCGAATTAGGGTGTTGAGGCGGCGTAAGTATTTGCTGTATCCCCCTTTTTCACAGTATTCCCGGAACTCTGCCGAAGTAAACGGAGGGCCGTTATCCGAAACCAACTGTTCGGGTAGTCCATTCCTACTAAATATCTCCTTCAGCTTTAGTATCGTTTTTTCCGCCGTGGTGGCCCCCATCTTGACCACTTCAGGCACCTTAGATTTCGCATCCACCACCACCAACCATTTGACTCCACCACTTGTCTCACAGAAATCTATGTGCAGTCTCTGCCAGACCTTCTGTGGTTCTTCCCACGGATGGAGGGGTATTCTGACCGGATCCTTGCCCATGACCGCACAAGTTCTACATCTCTTCACCATATCTTCTACCGCCCTGTCTATGCCCGGGAACCATATCTTGGTCTGGGCCAAACTAATCATTCTGTTCCGCCCATAGTGACTACTATGTAGCATCCTTAACACCGTTTGCTGAAAGTTCTTGGGAATAACTACCCTATACTCCCACAATATGCAGCCATTATGCAATGTCAGTGCGGTCTTTTTCACCGCATACGGCTCTAACCTGTCATCCGCAACTTTTTCCGGCCAACCCTTCCTAATATAATTTATCACCAAATGCAACAGAGGATCTGCTTTTGTAGCCTTAGCTATTTCCGCCTCCGTTACAGACAAATTTTCCATCGTTTCCATCGCTATCAACTCTTCCCGCACTTCATTGACCACCATTTCTGCGCTAAGCAGCTCTCTTGGGTCAGGCAACCTAGATAATCCGTCTGCGTTACCAAATTCTGATGTCTTCTTATACTCTATCTCGAAAGAGTATAACATGAGCCTCAACGCCCATCTATGCAGCCTTTTCGCTGCTATTACCGGTAGACCCTGTTTAGGGCCAAAGATCCTCACCAAGGGTTGGTGATCGGTTAACAGCGTAAACCGTCGGCCATAAAGGAACTGATTGAATTTTTTGACTCCATACACTATCCCTAATGCCTCCTTCTCTATTTGTGCATAATTGCGTTCTTGTTTTGTCAAGCAACGTGATGCATAAGCGATTACTTTCTCGGTCGTATCATCATATCTATGGTATAATATTGCTCCTATACCATACTCTTAGGCATCGGTAGCTAATACTACCGGAACATCAGGATTATAGTGCGCTAATGTGTCTGTTGCTGTAAGCTTTTCACGGATCTTTGTGAAAACTTCTCTTTCTTCGGCACCCCATCTCCATGGTGCACCTTTCCTGCGCAGACTGTTCAACGGCGCTGCCAACGTAGCTAATCTAGGGATGAATTTCCCATAGTACTGTATCATGCCTAGGTAAGACTCTAATTCTTTTATATTCCTAGGCTCTGGCATGTTCAGTATCGCTTTTAATTTACTAGGAGAAGGTCTAATGCCCTTTTCATCGACCACGTGGCCTAAAAACTCCATCTGCTCCTTAAAAAATTCACATTTCCCTCTTTTGAGGCGGAATCCGACTTCATTCAGTCTATTCAAGGCTTTCTCTAGTCTTTCTAAATGCGTTTTATCATCTGGACCTGTAGCGGTAATATCGTCCAGATAGATCAGCACCCCTTCGATTCCCGCCAGCGTCTCCTCCATTATCCGCTGGAATATTGCTGGTGCTGACGCAATTCCAAAAGGGATTCGCGTATACTCGAATAGCCCCTTATGCGTATTGATAGTAGTATACATCCTTGAGCTCTCTTCCAGCTCAACTTGCATATAAGCATCAGAAAGATCAACTTTTGAAAACTTTTTGCCGCCATGTAACATGTGAAACAAATCGTCTGGCTTGGGTAATGGGTACTGATTGATATCTAGTTGCGGGTTCACCGTGACCTTATAGTCACCACAAATCCTTATTTTCCCGCCTGGTTTGGGCACAACCACCAACGGTGTGGCCCATTTACTATGTTCCACTCTTCTTATTATTCCTTTTAGCACCATTTCTTCCAATTTAGCCTCGACTTTGGGCCTCAACGCAATAGGTATTGGCCTAGCTCTGAAGAACTTAGGCACTACTACATCACTTTTGAATTTCAACTCTGCTCGTGCAGTCGAGCACTTGCCCAAATCATCTTGGAACAACCTCTTGTTGTTATCCAGTATACGCACAATTTCTCTCTTGATTTCTATATTGGGCATTTGTTTAACCTTGTGAACCATCCCATAATGTGGTCCACAATCTATCTGTAATTCTCTTATCATGTCTCGACCACATAAGGAGTGCGTCGCCTCCTTAAAGACATGAACATCCACTATCGCCTCTCTCCCGGCGAACTTAACATTTAGTGGAACTCTTCCTTGGAACTTAATACGATCATTATCAAATGCCGTCGCGGCCACCGCAGCCTTGTTCAACTGCGGCTGGCCTATCCTCTTCCATGTCTTCTCGTCAATAATGGAAAGAGATGCACCGGTATCTAGCTCGAATGGGATCTTCTTCCCATTCACTTCCATCTCCAGCATTCTCGGTTG